CACCAGTACCATCAATATCACCAGTACCACCAGTACCACCAGTACCACCAGTACCACCAGTAACACCAGTAACACCAGTACCATCAATATCACCAGTACCACCAGTACCACCAGTAACACCAGTAACACCAGTACCAGGGTTAGGGTTAGAAAGATGTTCCATCATCAGATGAATGTATCTCCACCAACTGGCTCCTCTGGTCTCTGGTTCTGATGCATCTATTCATTGATCCAGTAGGTTGGATTTTGTCCAATACGACTCAGAACCATTTTATAAATGGTTTATTAAAGAACCTTTTCTTTGAAGTACAGTGGAATGCCATTAAGGTGTCTAAAGGAACATTGTTTGATGGTTCTTTGAGGCCCCTTTGAAGGTCCCTTAAAGAACAGTTTGAAGAAACTGTTCTTCAAATGACCTCCTGCTAAAAGGTTCTTTGTGGAACTCAAAGGGTTCACCGGCCACTTTATTAGGTACACCTTGCTAGTACCGGGTTGGACCCCTTTTGCCTTCAGAACTGCCTGAATCCTTCGTGGCATAGATTCAACAAGGTCCTGGAAACGTTCCTCAGAGACTTTGCTCCATATTGACATGACAGCAACATGCAGTTGCTGCAGATTTGTCTGCTGTGAATCTCCCGTTCCACCACATCCCAAAGGTTCTGTTGGATTGAGATCTGGTGACTGTGGAGGCCGTTGGAGTCCAGTGAACTCATTGTCATGTTCAAGAAACCAGTCTGAGATGATTGGTGCTTTATGACATGGCTCGTTATCCTGCTGGAAGTAGCATCAGAAGATGGGTCCACTGTGGTCATAAAGGGATGGACATGGTCAGCAACACTCAGGTCGGCTGTGGCGCTGACACGATGCTCAGTTGGTACTAAGGGGCCCAAAGTGTGCCAAGAAAATATCCCCCACACCATTACACCACCAGCAGCCTGAACTGCTGATACAAGGCAGGATGGATCCATGCTTTCATGTTGTTGACATGTTGTTGCTGACAGGAG